ACCTACAGCTAGTGGCACAAAAAACAGAGCCTTGATCTGATTATCATCCCTCGTGGTGGCTTGTCTAACTAACACAATCAGAAGGTAAAGCCGCCTCCAGCGTCTCGACGTTCGATTCCTTGACACTTGTCCAAGTGTGACATAGTAATTTGGCCGTCGCGCGACGTACGTCTTACAAGGTTAGTCTCGCCGTTTATTTTATTCCCAATCAGTACTTCCTCTCTAACCACCCTTTATACGAATTTGTACAATGGAATTTCTTTATTCCGTTGTTTGGCTCATTGTAGAACCCCGTGATCTTAGAGGTCCGCACCTGGACATAACGTTGTTAACATAATGGCGGACGTGAAGGGGTTTGTTTAATTTACTGTCGAAATTGCGCCTTGTCCGTAATTTGACAGGTGAAAAATTCACACCCTCCGAAAATATTTGTCTCTTATCAGGCATCTAAGTTTGTGATTAATTTTTTTTTAATGAAATTTATGGGTAATTAGCGGAAATTTGTTCACGTCCCAAACACTATACATTTCCGCTGAGCCTTTTGATATGTCAACATTCAGAACTTTTAATTACAGCAAGCCCGGTCTCTTGCAACACACAGTTTTATCAAAAATCTAACCCTAATGACTTTTTTTCCTATCGAAAGCAGTGTGTGTCAATTTAAATGTTAATTACAGTTTTCAGCCCGCGAATAGGAATCCAGGAAACATTAGATATGGAATAGCTCTCTGATAGTCAATTTCTTTCTTATATCTGTTTTTGTGATTGTTTTTCACCCTCGATTCGAAATAAATTGATGGGCAATTGAGTGTATATTGCTATCTTCGAATATGCTGATGATATCTACAAGGCATGTATTTGTAAGATACACAAACTACCCAACCCCGTGGGGGATGTTTTTGTTACGTACCTCTTTCGTGACCCTCTTGACCGATGTCCGGTGAAACGTCCAATGGAACACTTTTATCGTGTAGTTACATGTAGCGGTCCGTCGAATGCGCATGCCGTTGGTCAGTCTCGGGGTGTGGTCAGTCAAGGGTGTAAAAGGCGCCGGACACTGGTTGGCTTGTATGAGTAAATAAAGCGAAAGCAGCTGAAGTTTAAATATCGGGGATGCGAAACTTGCTTTTTAAAAGTTTTGTATATAGGCAAACCCGACAAACAAGACTCCCCGATTCCTATAACAATTAAAAGTGTAGTCATTTGAATTAGCGAATGCTAATCCCTGTGGGGCGTTAAGCAAAGGGGGTGAAGAGAACTTTTGCTCCGATTGTCGAGTGTCATTACGACACCCGAACACATCAGGGGGTGGGTTAGGTTCACAGCTGTTTTACAAATCGATATAAACATAATTCATGGTACGTTATGCTCCAAGTGGTCGAGCACTTTTATCGAAATTAATTTTGGGTTTCGTTTGTCGAAAAGGTCTACTAGCAAAATTTGTACATTTTTAGTTGTTTAAATTAATCTGGACTGCCATTTGCTATTACATCATTATCATTTAACAATAAATTTTAATCGATTGTGTAAAAATAATAGGTATGTAAACAACGCAAATTATCAAAATAGGTGCATTGTTTAAAAAAACAATACTTCGACCTTAAAAAGTTTGCAAGCTCATTATCCTACGATCTCGTCGACAATAAAATGCATGAAATAAACGTACTATAAAAATGCGTTTGAAAATAACTAAAAATAACTAAACGTCCATTTTTGTTGTTGTTGTGTACCATTTTGAAATATTTGAAAATAACCAACCAAGCAGGGCCGTGGCGATTGCTTGGCTCCCTGTCGCCTAAAATTTTGACTAAGAAGTTAGACATTCGTTACTGATCAATTTCGTTAGGAAAACGGCCAAATGAGCACATTGATTAATGTCAAGTACTTTATAGTTTATGTGTACTACATATTTGACGTACCGAAATGGTATGGTGTAATCCAAATTACGACAAACCGTTAACTGAAAAACAGCACCTTCTGTTAAAATTTCTGAAAAATCCGCCTACGACCACAGTTTCAAAAAATCTGTCGATAGGTAAATAAAAAAATCGCCCGCAAATAAGAAGGTGCGCATGCAAGAACCTTTCTTTTGACACGTCATTTCAATTTGATTATACACGGTGTTTTTTTTTTAAAATGGGCCATACGACAATGTGAAGGCGTTGAGTTATTTAAAATGGACCATAGGGAAATTTACATTGCGCCAATTGTTCTGAAATCTTGGCCCATCTTAAAAAAAACACTCTGTATAAAAAGCTTCTTAGCGTATCCATATTTATTTTCTCTATGTCGGTACCCTCTTCCGACAGTATATTCTCGAGATATTCGCACTAGAAGTTTTCACATTACCCACATATTTGTCTTGTAAAAACGTTCCAATCGCTCTCTATGAGTAACCTCTTCCGATACTCCGTTCTCGATATATTTGCATTTACATTTTTAACTGTCCCATTAGATATGTTTTCTCCAGATGTTCCATTTTCTCTTTGTGAGTACCCTCCTCAGACATTCCGTTCTTGAGATATGAGGAACTTATCTCGAAGAAATGCTGAAGAGGAGGGTACTGGGAATTATTTCCTGCTGTTGAGAGTTTTCATTAGAATATCATGAAGGAATACCAGTTTTTAGCCCCCCCCCCCCCAATTACAAAAAAGTACGGTATTATAACCGGCCGACCTCGATGTAATAGGGCGTGGAGGAAAGAGATGGTTGAAGTCAAGCACACTACCATGATGAATCGCCTCCCTCCCTTCCCCCCAATGTTGATAAGGGGTAAGAGAGAAGGGCGTTAGTTGGTACAAACAGTCCCTTTCTAGGTCCCTTTCGTTGAGACCTTTAATTAGAGTAACATGCAATTCCTGCCCCCCCCCCCCATCTTCCTCCGGATTGTAGAATAATACAGTTATACGTTGTATAAACCACTTCCTTTCGATGAGACCTTTTCTTAGAATATCATGAAGGGTAGAACGTGTGTTTAGTCACCTTCCCCCCATTTTCAAAAGTTTTACATGGCACCATTAGAGGCATGCAAAATATGAGACAAATTGGTTGCCCCATGTAAAAGTTATGTACGTTTAACTTTCAGAAACAGCATCTCGAGAAATAGTTAATGGGGGTAGTCCGCCTTAAGACAACAAAATTTGAAGGACGTCTGCCACACCTTGAAGGTATATTCCCCTAAAAGTAGTCTTGAACCGCAGATGTGTGTCCGGACGGACAGACGGAAAGACAGATGGACCGACAAAATGCAAACAATACCACTTTCTTTTTTAATTCTTTGAAAACGCTTTAAAAATCAATTTCGCAACTCAAATCCTTGACAAGCCGGAATTAAATTATGTCATCTTATCGTGGACACTCTCGAGGAATTGTATAAAATGTTATTTATTCACCAATTTTGTCAAGAAAACAAAGTTGCCCTGACGTACGGGAACTAAATTTTGTGCGCTACTTGCCTTGGTGCCTCATCCGTCATCGAGTAAGCACTTATTTTTGGCGAGAACGAAGGTTGCTTCGGTGCTAAAATTCCGGTGTGCATTTTATCATAGAACTTTAAACCTGGTGTAATATAGGTAGAGTTCCATCCTCTGAGGTCGAGGATTTTGTCCTGGAGAAAGCTCCTGGGGCGAGTATTACGGGCGTGAATATTCCGAGGGAGATACTTCAAACGCAAATCTTCCATTGGCCATTTTTTCGGTGGAGATTTTTAAGAATCAGTTTTCTTGGCGACGTCTGTTACAAAAATAAGTTTACAAAACTTGTTTGGCCTAAGCAACATTTTTCAAATTTGGTAATACAGGGTGTCCCAAAAGTGATCCACAGTTCCCAATTTGAAAATAAGACCCCCTTCAATTTCCACTAAATAGACGTTGGTAGATGGACAAAATGTCAACAATATCCACTTTTCTCATTTGAGAAAATGTCCTGGAAAATGGAAAATTTGTCCGATAGATACTGTCGCACGTTGTGCGCGGGTGCACCATCCTGTTCAAACCAACAGTTTTCAATTTTTATTTTTTTGTGAGCCATACATTTATTCTTTTATTCGTAATAAGAAATGATTCTCAATCTATGTCACTTGTTTTACGGGCCATATCAAAAAAATAGTGGGAAAGTGTTCATTTATTTTTCTGTACATGCTGAAATAACAGGAAAAAAATAAATACAACATCGGCAAATTTTAGTTTTTCTGGAATATCTTCGGAAGTAATCGGAATAATCTGGTTTTCTTTACAATTGTTTAATTGCGCAACTTTTCTCTAATTTAACCACCGTCTACGGTTTCCGAGATCCTCCTTATTTTGGACACAGTCTATATATGGGAAATACCTCGATTAACGTTGTTCTTCGCTGGTAAAAATGTAATGTTTAAGTGCGTGTGATGAATATACCTATCATTTCCGAAAGCGGCGATTGTTGTGGAATTAATAGCTGATGTCAGACAAGGGCATCATCTTGTGGAACACATCTAATTTTGTAGAGTAGTAAGTAGAGGCCTTAGGCCGTCGTAATCAGTGTAAACATGCAATCAGGCTCAGGGCATTGCTTTGTAGGGAGTGTTAGCTCTCTCATTCTTTCGGTTTAAAAGTTCATTAAGTACATAATAAACATTGCAGTCACACACGAATATTTCAACAAATCGAAAGAATTGAAAAATGTTACACGACGGCGACGTCTCGAGATTATTTTTCGTAAAATTTCAATGTTGCACGTCGTGACTTTTTTACTCGTGCTGTCAACCAGAAATCTTTTATCAACCGTCTTTGAAAAATGTGTCGGTTTTAGTTTTTACAATCGTAATTCTACTTGAACGGCAATATTGATCGAGAAACAGATTTAACCCTATCGTAATGAATGTAACTCAATGTAGTGTTAAATTGAAAATTACAGTCAACCCTTGTTGATCACAGTGTTTTACATGCTATGCTTGGCTAATGGTTTACTAAGTATTCATATGACGGATTCGGTACAGATTCTAATTTATTATTATTATTGTACAGCAGATGCAGACGGGGCGGATCTGGACGGACACCAAGACATTCTCACATGTGGAGTGTGCCAAAAACCGTTCGCCCTTTCGGATATCGTCAGATTTATACAACACAAAGTCGTAGCGTGCAACAAAGAAAACTTCTCGGCCGGTCATTGTTTTCAAGGGTCTGATAAAGAGAGAGACAGCGACGATGGCGGTTTGCCACTCTCAACGATAAACTCGCGAAGGCCTAGCATATCTGCCCCAATTTCTGGTAAAAAGGCCTCCGGTAGCAATACAAGAATACACACACCTCCACCCGCCTCGCCCCGACTGCCTGCCCCGGGCGACTTGTGCGTCGACGGCGCGGCCTCGTCCACGCCGAAGAGACGCGCGTCATCGTCGCCCTTAACATCCTCCAGCTTAGAAGATGGCGAAGACATCAAAACCAACATTAAGCAGGAACCGATGGAAACGTCGTCGTCGCCGGAGGAGAGTCACAAGAAGTCGAGAACCGAGGTCGCCGACGCCGAATCGAATACAACAAATAGCGGTAAGTTTCCAATACTGTAATTTTCGGTGATTGTGCACGTTAGGGCTATTTTAGTAAATTATACACCCCCGGTCTTATAAATTCATTTTGTTAGCTTGAATGGAAATCGATTACTGCATTTTGTTAAATTGTCTTGAAACGCGAAATCGCTAAATTGGAATGATGCAGCTTTAAATTTCACTTTTGATACCAAACGTCGCTTTGAAATAAAGATTACAGATTACTACACAATATTCACACTAAAAAATAAAAGTAATTTTCATAAATAAGGAATGAGTGGGAATAGAATTTATCAAAAGCCAAAAGACACGTAATTATATTTCGAAAAGGCCAAAACCTTAAGCAAGCTCCTTTGCTGACAAAATCTCGGCAATATTTAATTTTTGCTCATCTCGGAAGAATCTGAGAATGAATTACCTACATCTGGTCCAAAATGAGTTCGATTGCTCACCATAAACAAGTTTTGCGTGTTTAGTCGCATTGGTTTACTATTCACAGAAAAGCTCTTTCGTTACAGGGCAGCGGTTGTCTATCAAGTGCAGGGTTTCAGGTTTGCATGTTCGGGGGGTAGCCAAAAAAATTTATGATGAAAAACGGCACCATTTTTTTTATCCTTGTATAATCTTTTGGTATGAGGGTTTTTTTTGTTATGCGTTTCACGTTGATTCTGGCTAGGAAGTTTTTCGTTGCACCAATTGTTCTGCACTTAAACGTTGTCAATATACGAGTATATGTACATAGTAATGTATTCATATATAGCGGGTTTATATAATAATCCAGTAGTTCACTATCTTTGATCATAGCCAATAGAAATAAAGGTTTATGTGCGTCGCTAACCAACGAAACTGTACCTCTGTTTTTATTGGCTGTTTCTTAATGACCTAATGATAGTGAACTAATGTCGACTGTATAAAATCAGAAAATAAACTAATACAATTATTTGGTGTACTCCACAAGTATAGCTAATAGCAATCACTCCTTGGTTCATGTCATAAGGAGTTCTTCCTCACATGTTACGTCCCATAACACCAGAAAAAAATAACACCGAAATCGGCAAATTTCGATTTTTCTGGCATATCTTCGGAAGTAATTGCAATTTTTTGATTTTCTTTAAAGCATGATAGTAACTCTTTAATTTGACCATCGTCGTATCTTCTATGGTTTTGGAGACCCCCATGATAGACGTCGTTATCTAGGACAGTGTATAGAACCCCACACCTTACCTTATACATCCACCACCGAATACCCGTAAATTTGCTTTCATCCCCCATATACTACTACAGAAGGACGATTCCCTAGCTCTGCTCTCATCCTCCTCCCTGATTCCCACACGCGCCCTATCAATAATTGGATTCCGCATCACTACCCAGCTCAGCCTCGGCGTCCACTCACTCCTCACTTCCACCGCTCCCCAGACCCTTCCAATCCTTGCTCAACTTACACCTAGCCCGCCCTATCATATGAAATGACAAGATTTTGACCGATTTTTACTTATTTTTCCATTGTGACAAGTTGACAGAATTTCATAACTTTGTGTTACGTGAACCAGTGGTTCTTAAATACGTTTCAATCTTGGGATATGGCGTGATTGGTTTAGATGACAGGAAAGATTTTGTTTATTTTGTAGTCGTAGTTATTGGGTGGGATTTACTGAGTCAACGTTAAGGTAATTTAGGCCTCTCAAGCAATCTGATTGCAAAGGTAAAATTAGTTTATTGATCGAAACAGTTTGCGTCACGGTATGTATGGATGTTACTAGAAAAAGTAAAGTAGCGGGAAGTATGTTGTTCTAGAGGGAATTCACGTTAATCCAAAACCGGAGTTAGGGCAAGCACCGATGAATTGCCGTAGGGTGGATTTTATTTTGTGTGATTCAAAAGCGCCTTGAGCCGCCAGCGCAGTTAAGTCAACCACCTGTAAATCGCCGTGGACTGTCTTTTACTTGTGGCAAGTGAAATCGCCCCTAGAAGTGAGACAAATTAGCGAAGGTTGTTTTTCTAAATTGGTGTAATACCATAACAATTAAGAAAGGCTCTTTCGAAGGAATTTTGTACGCCCACTGTGGCGAAGTTGAGTACGTGTGGGTAAAATTAAAAGTGCGAATTAAAGTTTTTTGGAGACTGTAATTTACTTTGCAAGGGATAACTTAAGACTTAGAAACTATTACGGTAAATACAAACAATAGCGGAAGTTTTAAACGCACAACATTAAAATTGTGTGGCCCTAAATAAGGTTGAGTTGTAAAATAGAAGATATTGTTGCGAATATGGACACCGTAAAACTAGAACCCCAAAATTGAATTCTGCCATTTTAATCATTTACGGTGAATTGACTTCATGTTGTAATTGACTAATTATTCGCACGTATGAAGCGGTTAATTTTCCGCAAATAACTTTTTTATATGACTTTGACGTTTGAGTGACCGTAACTTAAACTGCCAGTCAAAGGAGCCATTCATTATGCGAGAGAGACCAAATAGATTAATATGTTAATACAGGAAACTCGCTGCTATTTTCATTTGCGTACAGCGAGACATGAAATAGCGCCATATACACGGCTCGGTGTGGAATGACGAAAAATTAAGGAGTAAATTAATTATATTACCAAGTGTATTTAATATAGAATTTTGTTCTTTGCGAGGAATTAAATGGTATTTTAATCCTCCACATGCACCACATATGGGCGGCATATGGGAGCGACAAATTCAAAGCATAAAGAAGATCTTAAAGGAAATTCTAAATACTAGGTATCCTCAAGAACATATACTCAGAACCATCCTCATAGAGTGCGAAAATATATTGAATTCCAGACCTCTGACGAACGTTTCTTCAGATTCTCATGACTCTGAACCTCTGACACCAAATCACTTCCTTATGGGACCAGACCTTGTAGCACAACCTTGGACTGTGACTACTGACAATCGAGATCTTAACCTTATGAATAGTTGGAGTCAGCTCAGCGTTTAGCAGACTTTTTTTGGAAGCGATGGCTTGATGACTATTTACCTACAATTATCAAACGTTCCAAATGGTATCAAGCTCAGAAGAATATCAAAGTTGATGACATTGTTATAATTGTTGATCCAAGTGGAACAAGAAATGATTGGCGAAAAGCAAGAGTAGTCAAAACGTATCCTGCCAGAGATGGTAGAATTCGTATAGTTGACGTCAAGGATGGAATGGAAAGGTATACCGAAGAGCACTGTCAAAGCTCATTGTACTTGATCTGCAGTAGTAATTGCTGGAAGAGAGGCAATTACTATGGTGGAGAAATGTTGTATTTTTTTGTATCAAGTTTACTGAATACTTATAAAATATTGCCATAGAAATGAGGTTGTTAGAAAAATATAAAAACCGTCATAAAGCTCTTGTCAAATTGTTCTTCGACCCGGACAATATAATCATAACATTCATAACACATTAGGTAAGAGTCAATAACATTGGTCCTTTATGTGTAACTACAAAACCGGAGGTCGGGTGTTCGAACCTGGGCTGAGGTAGGAATTTTTCTTCTGTGACAGAGATGGGAATTTCCGTAGATCAGTTTCGAGCATTCTTCCGGCTACTCCGAATTAGGTTTTCCTGCAGTTTTCCTAATTCGTAAGGTAAATACCGGAGTAGTATAGACCAGCTTAAGACCTTCTGCAGAGGCACCTCTAAAAACCATTATGCGGGTCACTCTGTAATTAGGAGTAAACCTGTTGAGGGCCTAGAACAAGAGAGACAATAAATAAATAACAATAACAAAGCACGTAGAACTATGAACACCTAATGAACACAGTTCAAACCATATAACAGCTTACTATTGACACTCCCTACCGCAACGTCGTGACACTGTTATTTGCGACCGGTTTTCAACGTAAGGTTCCTCTAATTAAGGTATTTGACGAGACCTATGATTTTGTGTCGATTGTCTTTTTCAATACAAGTGGATCAACTTATTAATACGAATTTGAACGACCAAGGGATATTTGGTTTTTTGTCAGCTAAATAGTAAGGATAGGATCTCCCTCCGCCTCTGGAGATGCCCGTACTGTAACTGCATGGGTAAGTTCCCATTATTTAGCAGAACCAATCTTGAATTTGTCTCTTATCTTATGCCACTTACTCTTTTTAGTGCTCCACACAATCGTTTTACCAAATTTCTTCTTTTCTTTGTTCAAGCTAACTTCACACCCGAGCTCTAATTTGGTCCAATTCATTAGTACTCGAAGAGCTTTATTGAAGATACCCCTTACAAAACACTCGAGGAAAGGTCAATGGAGCACTAATATTGGTTTGTTGAACATTCACTGGAAGTAATACAGAAATTGACCTCGATTAACATAAAATTGGAGAAAATGAGCTTCATTGGGAGAAGGGCATAGAAGACGTTGGAGGGGGGTGGGAGATATGGTCTAGATTTTAATCTGCCCTTACCAGAGCTGTTTATACAAAACATTTAGGCACCAAGCAAATAATACCATGTCGAATATTCCATGAATACTTCAAACCGAATAGTAGGTGCTACATTCGACCCCTAGAAACCTGTCTAGCACTCGAGACACATTCACTGCAGAGAAACTGCTTTAATTTTAGCACGAAAATCATTTTCTTGGCGGATAAACTGTTGATTTGGTCCAGCGCGCAATAGCAAATAGTCATGAAACGAATGAATAATGGCAAAAAACAAAAAGCCGAAAATGTGAAGTTATATTGATCAAATCTTATTATCTTGCCGTCTATACAGGCTTATCACCTTGATAATCTATTGTTATGTAACTGATGAGTCCAAAAGTTTAAATTGCCCCTTAAGATAATAGATAACACACAAAGTAATTTGTACACTTTGTGATGAAGAATATTGGTCAATCGCGCAACCCAAACAACTCGGCCCTGTATATTACTTGATTGTGTTGTCTACTGTGCTACTCCTGTATTTGTAAATAACTGTCTCAAGTGCCCATAGATTCCTAATGATTTTAATTATTTTAGACTTAGACAGTATGGGAGCATATCACG